GTGTGGTGAAAGTGTTTAATGATGTGAAAGTATTTTCTTTTGGGGATTTTTCTTTCTTTTTTTGGGTCACCCTGCCCGGGGGGGGACGGCCGGGCTTGTTGAAATATTATATATAAAATATATATAATATATATAAAATATATATAAAATATATATATATATATAATATATATATATATATATATATATATATATATTTTCCAACAAGTCGGCCGTCTCCCCCCGAGGCAGGGTGACCCCAAAAAAAGAAAGAAAATCCCCAAAAAGAAAATACTTTCATCATCATTCACACTTTTACCACCTGGAGGTTACCTGGAGGTTATTCCCGGGGGTCAACGCCCCCGCGGCCCGGGCCACGACCAGGCCTCCCATGGATCAGGGCCTGATCAACTAGGCTGTTACTGCTGGCCGCACGCAGTCCGACGTACGAACCACAGCCCGGCTGATCCGGCACTGACTTTAGGTATCTGTCCAGCTCTCTCTTGAAGGCAGCCAGGGGTTTATTGGCAATTCCCCTAATGCTTGATGGGAGGCTGTTGAACAGTTTTGGGCCCCGGACACTTATGGTGTTTTCTCTTAGTGTACCAATGGCGCCCCTACTTTTATTGCGGCATTTTGCATCGCCTGCCCAGTCTTTTACTTTCGTAGGGAGTGATTTCTGTGTGCAGATTTGGAACCATTCCTTCCACTCACACATTATCACTGTTTTTGCAGAGGTGCTCAGAATACAACAGTTTAGAAGCATACACATATAAAGATACACAACGTATCCCTCCAAACTGCCAATATCCCAAAACCCCCTCCTTTAAAGTGCAGGCATTGTACTTCCCATTTCCAGGACTCAAGTCCGACTATATGAAAATAACCGGTTTCCCTGAATCCCTTCACTAAATATTACCCTGCTCACACTCCAACAGATCGTCAGGTCCCAAGTACCATTCGTCTCCATTCACTCCTATCTAACACCTCACGCACGCTTGCTGGAAGTCCAAGCCCCTTGCCCACAAAACCTCCTTTACCCCCTCTCTCCAACCCTTTCGAGGACGCCCCCTACCCCCGCCTTCTTTCCCCTATAGATTTATATGTTTTCCATGTCATTCTACTTTGATCCATTCTCTCTAAATAAACCAAACCACCTCAACAACCCCTCTTCTGCCCCTGACTAATACTTTTATTAACTCCACACCCTTTTCCCAAATTTTCCCACACTCCGAATTTTCTGCATAATATTTACACTACACATTGCCCTTAAACAGGACATCTCCACTGCCTCCAACCGTCTCCCTCGCTGCTGCATTTACTACCCAAGCTTCACACCCCATAGAAGAGTGTTGGTACTACCAACTTTCGTACATTCCCTTCTTTGCCTCCATTTGATAACGTTTTTTGACTCCACATATACCTCAACGCACCACTCCACCTTTTTTCCCTCATCAATTCTATGATTAACCTCATCCTTCATAAATCCATTTCCCCCGACACGTCAACTCCCAAGTATCTGAAAACATTCACTTCTTCCATACTCCTCCTCCCCAATTTGATATCTAATTTTTCTTTTCTAAATCATTTTTACACCCTCATCACCTTACTCTTTTCTATGTTCACTTTCAACTTCTACCTTTACACACATTCCCAAATTCATCCACTAACCTTTTGCAATTTTTCTTTAGAATCTCCCATAAGCACAGTATCATCAGCAAAAAGTAACTGTGTCAATTCCCATTTTGAATTTTATTCCCCAAAATTTAATCCCCCCCCACCCCGAACACCCAGCATTTACTTCCTTTTCAACCCCATCTATAAATATATTAAACAAAACCCTGGTGACATTACACATCCCTGTCTAAGACCTACTTTTACCGGGAAGTAGTCTCCCTCTCTTCTAAAAACACCCTAACCTGAGCCTCACTACCCTCAAAAAAAACTCTTTACAGCATTTAATAACTTACCACCTATTCCATATACTGCAACATCTGCCACATTGCTCCTCCTATCCACTCTATCATATGCCTTTCTAAATCCATAAATGCAATAAAAACTTCCCTACCTTTATCTAAATACTGTTCACATATATGCTTCAATGTAAACACTTGATCTACACATCCCCTACCCACTCTAACCTCCTTGCTCATCCCGCAATCCTACATCCTGTCTTACCTCTAATTCTTTCAATTATAACCCTAAACCATACACTTTTCCTGGTATACTCAGTAAACTTATTCCTCTATAATTTTTACAGCCTCTTTTGTCCCCTTTTTCCCCTTTTTATAAAGGGACTATACATGCTCTCCGCCAATCCCAGGTACCTTCCCCCTCTTTCATACATTTATTAAACAAAAGTACCAACCACTCCAACACTATATCCCCCCTGCTTTTAAACATTTCTGTCATGATCCCATCAGTTCCAGCTGTTTTAAACCCCCTTTCATTTTACGTAATGCCTCCCCCACACTTACATTCTGCTCTTCTTCACTCCTAAAAGATGGTATACCTCCCTGACCAGTGCATGAAATTACCCGCCTCCCTTTCTTCCTTAACATTTAAAAGTTCTAAAAATATTCTCGCCATCTCCCCAATACCTTCAGCTCCCCATCTACTACTCCCCTACTCTGTTTTAAAACTGACAAATCCAAAATTTCCCTAGGCTTTCTTAACTTGTTAACTCACTCCAAATTTTTTTCTTATTTTCTTTAAAAATTTTTCTTGACAGTGCCTCTCCCCACTCTATCATCTGCTCTCCTTTTTGCACTCTCTCCACCACTCTTTTTAAACCTTTCTTTTACTCTCCATATACTCTGCTCTTCTTTAACACTTCTGCTTTGTAAAAACCTCTCATAAGCTACCTTTTTCTTTTTATCACACCCTTTACTTCATCATTCCACCAATCACTCCTCTTTCCTCCTGCCCCCACCCTCCTATAACCACAAACTTCTGCCCCACATTCTAATACATGCATTTTTAAAACTATTCCAACCCTCTTCAACCCCCCCACTACTCATCTTTGCACTAGTCCACCTTTCTACCAATAGTCGCTTAAAATCTCACCCGAACTTTCCTTCCTCCCTTAGTTTATACACTTTCACCTCCCTCTTACTTGTTTTGCCACCTTCCTCTTTTCCCATCTACCTCTTACTCTAACTGTAGCTACAACTAAATAATGATCCGATATATCATTGCCCCTCTATAAACAGTACATCCTGGAGCCTACCCATCAACCTTTTATCCACCAATACATAATCAATAAACTACTTTCATTACGTGTTACATCATACCTTGTATATTTTTTTTATCCTCTTTTTCATAAAATATGTATTACTTTTTACCAAATCTCTTTCTACACATAGCTCAATTAAAGGCTCACCATTTACATTTACCCCTGGCACCCCAAATTTACCTCCCTTACTCCCTCCATAACATTTTTACCCACTTTAGCATTGAAATCCCCAACCACCATTATCTCACAACTTGATTCAAAACTCCCCACCCCTTCACTCAACATTTCCCAAAATCTCTCTCTCCCTCTACACTTCCTCTTCTCCAGGTGCATACATGCTTATTATAACCCACTTTCCCCACATCCAATCTTTATTTTATTCCACATAATCCTTGAATTAATACATTTATAGTCCCTCTTTTCCTGCCATAGCTTATCCTTCAACATTATTGCTACTCCTTCTCTAGCTCTAACTCTATTTGAAACCCGACCTAATCCCATTTATTCCTCTCCACTGAAACTCTCCCACCCCCTTCAGCTTTGTTTAACTTAAAGCCAGGACATGCAGCTTCTTCTCATTCATAACATCCACAATCATCATGGGGGTGGCCCGGTGGCCTGGTGGCTAAAGCTCCCGCTTCACACACGGAGGGCCCGGGTTCGATTCCCGGCGGGTGGAAACATTTCGACACTTTTCCTTACACCTGTTGTCCTGTTCACCTAGCAGCAAATAGGTACTTGGGTGTTAGTCGACTGGTGTGGGTCGCATCCTGGGGGACAAGATTAAGGACCCCAATGGAAATAAGTTAGACAGTCCTCGATGACGCACTGACTTTCTTGGGTTATCCTGGGTGGCTAACCCTCCGGGGTTAAAAATCCGAACGAAATCTTATCTTATCTCTCTCTTATCTTCTCATCATCTGCACAACATCCACGCACATTCAGACTTCCCACTTTGACAATTTTCTTCTTCTTATTCTTTTTAGTAATCTTTACAGGAAAAGGGGTTACTAGCCCATTGTTCCCGGCATTTTAGTTGACTTTTACAACACGCATGGCTCATGGAGGAAAGATTCTTATTCTACTTCCCCATGGATATAAAAGGAAAAGTAATAAGACCAAGAACTATTAAGATAAAATCAAAGAAAACTCAGATGAGTGTGTATAAATAAATGTGTACATGTAGTGTAGTGTTGGGCCTAAGTGAAGTAGAAGTAGCAAGACATAACCCGTAATCTTGCATATTTATGAGACAGACAAAAGACATCAGCAATCCTACCATCATGTATAACAATCACAGGCTTTCGTTTTACCCCTCACTTGGGAGGACGGTAGTACCTCCCTGGGTGGTTGCTGTCTACCAACCTACTATATATATAATATATAATATATATAAATATATAATATATATATATAATTTATATAATATATATATATAAAAATATATCTATATAATATATATATATATATATTATATATAATATATAAATATAATATATATATATAATATAAATATATATAAAAATATAAAATATAATATATAATATAATATATATATATATATATATATATAAAAATATATATATATATATAATATATATATATATATAATATATATATATAAAAATATTATAAAAATATAATAAATTATATATTTATATATATATATAAAATTTTATATATATATATATAATATTTGGTTTTCAATAAAGAAAATCTAACCTTGGAGGATTTTTTAGCTCTGGCCTCCTTTTATAATATTTTATATCAGGCTTCAAAGATCACATTTTTCTTTAGTCCTAAAGATTTATTATAATTTTACATGGAAAGTGTTTTTGTTCATTCACTAACCTGTTGCAATACACATGCTTTGTACAGTATTAATGCCTCAGCTCTAACAAACCTTCCTGTTGACTATTCTGCCTCTCTAAGCACCAAGATTTCCTGAACAGTTACAGTACTTGCAGCATAACGTGCAGGGAGTGTTGTCCTAAACCACGTCAGAGCACCCAATACAGGGACGAGACAGTGATTCCCTTATGTTTCATTAGCTTTACCTATGCTTCATTAACTTCATCTCTGCTTCATAAACATCACATATGATTCATTAAATTTAACAGCAAATATTTCTAGAAAAACAACAAGAAATATAATTACACACTAGGTACCTGATACTAGGTAAAATACACGTCAACAATTGTGCTGTACATGATCTATAAATAAACTATCACAAAATTCTTCGGTTCTATGATACTGTTTCCTTGGCACTGCAAGCCATGAGTCTTGCATGTTCGTCAGCCTCTTCTCTGATTCTCTTCATATCACTTAGGTTGGAGAAAATTCCTTTGACTAGTTGTTTATAAATACGGTCACTGTAATAGGTATTTGTGGGGAAGATTCCTTCCATGAAGCCGATGTGGCCACCACGAGCAGTCACAACAATGGCTACATGGCTAGATCTGCTTGCAGCCTCAATTGGGATCCCTGATGAAATTAAATATATAATATATTAGCATACAAGCAGGCTCTAGATTTTTGTGGCATCACATCATGATAACTGATCATGCTACTAGAAAAAAGACCAATTATATATTATTCATCTTTTACCCCATGTATTGTACCAAAAAGTACTCTTTCAATTTTGGCTGCCTTACATATTTATTTATATTTTTATTTATTACAAGTACATGTACATGGTATACAGGCCTAGCTGACATTAATGACATACTACTATATAGAAAGCCGCTTGTTATGCTGAACATTTCGGGCAAATCAGCTCAGCTTTGTCCCAGGATGCGGCCCAAACCAGTCGACTAACACCCAGGTACCCATTTTAAACTGATGGGTGAACAGGGACAGGGACAGCAGGTGTCTTATGGATACACGTCCCTAATGTTTTCCAGCTGTACCGGAGGAGATTCGAACCCCGGACCTCAGTGTGTGAGCTGAGTGCGCTAGCGATCGAGCTACTATTGAAATAATGAATGGCAGATACTGGCTAAATGACATTTCTATAACTATCATCAACAATGCATGTTATGAAAGTACAATATACAATAAAAAAAAACAGAGTAACATTTATGATGCGAGTCAGGGAAACCAGTCAGTTAGACCTGAATACTGGAGGTGGGAAGAACAGAGTCTGTACTCTGAAAGGAGTATGTAGCAGTCTGGAGGGATATTTGAACTATGATCTATTCATGCTTCTGGCACGACAGCTACTGGATGAAAAACGGTGCGAGTTTTCTTCTTTATGTAACTACTTTGTTGAGAAATGGCTGATGGAAAAATAAGCATGAACTACAAAAAAGTAATTGTATTATATAGTAATGTACATGTTCTTTAATGCTGAATAAAATTAAAAAAAAGAAAAATAGCAGAAAATTATATAACCACTTCCTCTCAGATGAACAAACTGATTAATGAGGTCTGATGGAGTACGTCCAAATTATATTTGATTACATAGCCTAGGAGAGTATTGTTGTGGAAATTTATTCGGTCCCAAAGTTCCACAGGGCAGATACGTCGTACAAAAATCCCAACAGGTCGCAGATGGAACAGCTGGGTTGGGTGGCCCTTACACCCACCCAAAACACACACACACACACCCGGGTTGGCGAAGGTGGTTGGAAGGTACTTCTTAATTCAAGGAAGAGGTAGGTAGTTTATACTGTTAGTGAACTAATATTAGGACTATTGAGGCAACTGTAGATAATAATAATGTAGACCTAAGACCTTAACGTAGGTAGTAACAGGCCGATAATGTGGGCAAACCCTAGGTTATATTAGCCAGGGAGAACTGGCAGCCCAAATTTGAATTCTGGGGCACGGAGTTTTGAGACCACAGTGCCTTCCTCAAGACCAGACACCAACCGAGTAACAAGTGCCGTGAACATCAGGGCGGCGCCCCACATGTTTACACATACTAGGCCCTGGGGAAATCTGGTGGAGGCACCTCGAAGTACCGTAGATGACCTCCTCTGTCAGGCCCATACAGTAAGACAAGACCTCCCTTTCTCTTTCAGTATTCTGGCCAGTTTCTGGGGGGAATTTGCGAGTGAGTTGAACTGTGGGTCTTTGTGCAGCTGGACGGCCTAATGATCGGTACGTGCGGGTGACTCTTCGTGGTTAAGCCTTAGAAGCTAGTGTCTATTTCTGCATAGTTATACTAGGGGATACACACCCCCTTGGAAACAGGAATTTCTGAGGTGCAGGAAGGTCACTAATTTTGACTGAATATTGCAGGAATTAAGGCTCCCGGTTGCACGTGGTTCTGAGGGGAAGTCCAGAGGGGCTAAAGCTTAGGGAGGTTGAAGATCGGAATATATTCTCCAACACCAAGTAAGTTAGCCCTTTATTCGTGCATGCAGGCGAGATTTTCTTGCAACATCAGTCATTTATGGAAATCTGTCCTATAAGCCACTTGTGAGGCTGAGGTACCGACCTCAGAGCTCGGTGTCAACAGAGCTTGCTAGGGTAGGCAACTCACATGGAGGCAGTCCAGACAAATTTCCACAATTGTAGTAGGTTCGCTGGTGCTGTCCCGGCCTGGGTCTTCTCCAGATGGTGACTCAGCCCCCAGGTAAGTGTTATCGTAGCGATTGATAAGAGCTTGTCAAGCTTCTAACTGCATTCCTATTACATCCAGTTTCATTATCGACCAATGTTTAAATACCTGGCATCAATTCGTCAATTTACACAAAAAAACTCGGCAAATATTTTACAATAAAATAGTTTTTAATACAATTTTGGTTATGACGGTACGATAATACAGTATTGTAGTATACAGTATCATATTTACTGAAGTCAGTTGTATTAGTGAAGCTAAACTCATACAGTGGCAGTAACTAACTGGTCACAAGGTAGGAATTTATCTTATGCAATTTTGCAAATTCTTGACAGAAAAAAAATCAATATAATTAAAAATGACAGTATAATTAGCACTGTAATTATTGTAAAAAATATGCATATTCACTGCAATTATTGTACAAAAATTATGCATATTTTATAGCATTACATCACGTTTACTGTCTCAAAAAATGATCATCACTTACCTTCCATTGGCTGGAAAGGATCATCGGCAGCGGTGAGACACAAAAGAGGGACTTTTATGTTGTCAAGTTTATCATGCAAGCAAGCAGTCCGGTAATACTCTTCTACATCTCTAAACCCAAACTGCACGGCTGTGAATCTTGAATCGAATTCTCGAATAGTTTTGCTCTGGTTGGGAGAACAAACTTTGTATAAAGAGTAACAATTTGCTTGAATATACAGAACCACTGAAAAAGACATCCAAAAGGTTACTTAATTAATATAGGAACGGAATAAGTGTAAACAACTGTTTAGTATCATTGATTTTACTAAGATTAATCAAGCTGGAGATTCTAGATTTTTTAAAGCGTTAACTTTACAGGATAAAAGCAGTTATCCTATCTAACTTTATTGCCAAGTCTGATCCTAGCCTCTGAATTACACCCCTCAAGATGCCACTCACAATAGTCGACTAATAGTAAGTACATTTAGGTACAGGTACACAAGTACAATGATCATACATGGTAAGACGTAAATTATCTAGGATAGCCCCCCAGAATGTCAAAGTGACTTATTTCCTTGGTATCCATTGGGGTCCAGTTGCTTCTAGGTGAACAGGCAATGGGTGTAAGGATTATTATTATATTCATGGGGGAGTGCCCAACTCGTACAGAGTTATACAGTTTCTGGGAGAATGGCAAGCAATCATGTTTGATCCAAGGAAGGGGAGTTCGGGTCTAATTTCTTGGGTGAAAAGTCCTCACTAGTGTCAAGGAACCTCCCTTTACGACAGGAAGTATGGTAAGGAGACTTATTCATATCTCCTCCCTTGCTTGGTAATCAAGCCAGAGGACTTTTGGTTACCAGCAAATGGATACAATTAATTCAGAGACATGAAAAGAATATAACTTTTCAGCAAAGAACTGAAATGCATCTTTTCTTATTACATTCTGTAAATCATTACTTATTACATTCTATAATTTCTATAAGACAATGTGAGTGGGTGGGAAAAAAATATAAATATTTCATTAAAAAAAAGCACAAATTAACATAATTCTACTGTAAATATTATTATTATTATTATTAATCAGAACTAAGCGCTAAACCCACAAGGAGCATACAGCAACATATGCTCAAGAAAGTTTAAATGACACATTTGCAACTCTTCTGCAAGTTTTGGGTATAGTTTAGCAACATTTGCATAGTCAAGAGGATCCACCATGACTTAACACAGTCACTTACAAAGACAATGAGATCTATCATCACTCACATAGTGGCTCTGTAAATCATACAGTTATCTACATTCATTAGATTATTATAATTATGGGGAAGCGCTAAACCGACAGGAGTCATTCAGTACCCACAAGAGAAATGGGACGCAATCAAGGTTTGATCCAGGAAAATGGAGGATAGCTTCAATTTCCTGAATGAAGAGCCCTGTAAAGGTTGGACACTGAAAATAACCAAAAACTATAAATATCTACCATGAAAGGCAATAGAAAATGGTGTCCACAAGTTTTTTTTTATCTAATCTATTCAGAGACGATAATTCCCATCTGAAAGAATGAACTCTGAGTAGCAGTGACTCGTCTGAGTCTTCAGCTTCCAGTTGTGACCCCTTGTGTCTATGTCCCCTCTCTGGATCGTCTGAGTCTTCAGCTTCCAGTTGTGACCCCTTGTGTCTATGTCCCCTCTCTGGAACATCCTATCTCTGTCCACCTTGTCTATTCCCCGAAGTATCTTGTATGTCGTTATCATGTCTCCCCTGACCCTTCTGTCCTCCAGTGTCGTCAGTCCGATTTCCCTCAACCTTTCCTCGTACGACATTCCCCTGAGCTCTGGGGCTAGCCTTGTTGCAAACCTTTGTACTTTCTCTAACTTCTTGACGTGCTTGACCAGGTGTGGGTTCCAGACTGGTGCTGCATACTCCAGTATGGGCCTAACATACACAGTGTACAGTGTCTTGAACGATTCCTTATTAAGGTATCGGAACGCTATTCTCAGGTTTGCCAGGCGCCCATATGCTGCAGCAGTTATTTGGTTGATGTGTGCCTCAGGTGACGTGCTCGGTGTTATGGTGTGTGCGTGTGCGTGTGCGTGTGTGTGTGTGTGTGTGTGTGTGTGTGTGTGTGTGTGTGTGTGTGTGTGTGTGTGTGGTGTGTGTGCGTGTGTGCGTGTGTGCGTGTGTGCGTGGTGCGTGCGTGCGTGCGTGCGTGCGTGCGTGCGTGTGCGTGTGTGTGTTAGTTACCATGTTGTCCTAGGCACATGTCCATTAGACACTAGGCCTCTTGTATGTGTATGTGTGTGTGTGTGTGTGTGTGTGTGTGTGTGTGTGTGTGTGTGTGTGTGTGTGTGTGTGGTACTCACCTAGTTGTACTCACCTAGTTGAGGTTGCAGGGGTCGAGTCCAAGCTCCTGGCCCCGCCTCTTCACTGGTCGCTACTAGGTCACTCTCCCTGAACCATGAGCTTTATCGTGTGTGTGTTGATGTGTGTGTGTTGATGTGTGTATGTGTGTTGATGTGTGTGTGTGTTGTGTGTGTGTTGATGTGTGTGTGTTGTGTGTGTGTGTGTGTTGATGTGTGTGTGTGTGTGTTGATGTGTGTGTGTGTGTTGATGTGTGTGTGTGTGTGTTGATGTGTAATGTGTGTTGATGTGTATGTGTGTTGATGTGTATGTGTGTTGGTGTATGTGTGTTGATGTGTGTATGTGTGTGTAATGTGTGTTGGTGTGTGTATGTGTGTTGGTGTGTGTATGTGTGCTGGTGTGTGTGTGTGTGTGTTGATGTGTGTGTGTGTTGATGTGTGTGTGTGTGTGTGTTGATGTGTATGTGTGTTGATGTGCATGTGTGTTGGTGTATGTGTGTTGATGTGTGTATGTGATGTGTGTATGTGTGTTGGTGTGTATGTGTGTGTGTGTGTGTGTGTGTGTGTGTGTGTGTGTGGTGTGTGTGTGTGTGTGTGTGTGTGTGTGTGGGTGTGGGTGTGTGTGTGTGTGTGAGACTCAACAATCAATATTTGCACCAATAACTCATTACAGTTGTGACCGGGTGTGGAAGTGTGAATTGCTCAGTACTCTATAATTTGTTCATGATTGTAGCCATGTATAAACGTAAGTAACCATTCTTACAGGATTCATTACCTTTGTAACTTGTGAGTTCATTACCTTTCTACCTAGTTCAGCTATCAAAACTTTGGGGGCCCAGTCCCTGGACCCATTACGTACCTCTGTACTCTGTAAATACCTTTGTAACTTGTCATGATTGTGACCAGACCTACCTGGAGTTCATTACCTTTGTAAATTGTGAGTTCATTACCTTTGTAAATTGTGAGTTCATTACCTTTGTAACTTGCTCAGCTATCAAAACTTTGAGGCCCAGTCCCTGGACCCATTATGTACCTCTGTAATCTTTTGACTACCTCCCACAGGATGGGTATGGGGTGCATAATAAAGATATTAAACTAAATGAGTAGCTACTAAAAAAAAAATTACGCACCTGCATAACATGGTCAAGATCCCACTTGTAATGTCCCTCCAGTTGCTTCCTCATACTCCTGACTGACTCACAGAGGCAGTGAGCCAAGTGGCGGTTGAGCAACAGATTCCAGAGTGGCTTCTCCAGGCTCTCTGTTCCAATGAAAACATTCCAGGGGATGGAGAGCACCATGGCTGCTACCAGATGTTGAGCAGCTGTCTCCCCTCGTGTTGCCAGGTAATTACCCAGGATCATGCTGTGCCGAGTAACGTGTCGGATAATTTTGAAGCAAAATAGACATAGAAAAGATAACCACATACAGTACTGAATACATGCAAGATCATAAGAGAAAATATATAAGGATTTCTTAGCGCCACCCCTTTAGGGGTGGAGCTGGTGAGGGGATCTTGATCTAGGGAATTGGATCTGTGCTCCAGTTCCCTGTACTGAGCCTGAATGCCTTCCCCCCCCCCTTCCCCTACAGGCGCTGTATAATCTCTACGGATTTAGCGCTCCCCCATGATAATAATAATAATAATAATAATTCTTAGTGCCATATTCGGCAGTTGTTAATAGGGGAAGTTCTGAAACCATACTACTCTTTCTTCACAAACAGAGGTAAAGCACTGGAATATGATCCTGGAAATGACCCTGTAGACGGTAGTATACAGTACTAGGATATTTAAACAATTATATAACTAAACACTTAAGATAGGACATAACTATAATTAATCACGAATGAGTTATCTCTCAGTATCTCTCGTTCAAAACAATTACTGTAAAATATTTACCATTTTCGAAAATGTTGAAAACAAGTGCTTGATCTTCAAAAGCACGAATTGACCAAATGGGCAAATTTTCCTTCCATGCTTGAAAATCTCTAATTTGGAATTTTGTCTGAATAGTCAGCTTTGTTACTTTTTTTTAAATTATGCAAATCTGAGTAAGATTACTAATTACTATAACTATACAATGAAAATATAAGTGGTGCATTACCCTCCGAGAGAGATGCCAGTAGCCATGAGTGGAGCCTTAGGGTACTTCGTGCGTATGTGTTCAATGGCTTCTTCCAGGTCATCACTGTTGGCTGCACAATACGTCCTGGCTGTCTGCCATATTGATATAGTTTCATTTCTCATAAATTAGATAAGTTTCCATCAGTAGCAGAAAAACAACAGCTTCTACTTAGATATGTTAAACAATGTATATAAAGTACTGACAAAGAATCATTTTAATTAAAACGCTGGAGTTTAGATACACAAAAATACCAGTGAAATAAGATAATGTTATCAGTTCCTTTGAAGATGCATGCGGAAGATCATTTTATCTGGATTACTAACCTGAAAGGACTAATCCAGAATAACCAAACAACCAAATAAAGCCACTTGGTGTGACTTATTTCCAATGGGGTCCTTTCATCCTCTTTCCCACGACGCGAACCACAAAAGTCAGCTATCACCCACATACCTTCTTGTTAGGTAAACAAGAACAGCAGGTGTGAGGAAACTTGTACAAAATTTGAGAGACCCCAGTGGAAACAGGTCACATATGACTTTACTGGATTATCTTAGGTTGAATATACATAATTTACTGTGTGCCCTAAATATCATTGATTTTTTGTATGTTACATACACAAAACTTAAATCAAATTGACTAGTTACTTAATTTTACTTACACTAGTACTAGGACTGACAACAGGTCCTTCAGACGTGAACCAAAAGATTCAGCCACGAGTCATGTGAAACACTTGGATATTTCCATTTGTTTCACTGTAGTATTTGCACATCAAATATAAATGACAGATAATAGCATATACTGTACAGTATTTTACTAAGAATACCTCTTATGTTACAGCGATGGAAACAGATAAATTTAGTTCATACGTAAGTTTTGTGTGTGTGTAAATTCATAATAGTGTCATCATTTATAAGCATGAAGCATAGCTTACCTTCAGCTGGACACCCCCTAGGCCACGGTTGTTGAAGACAGCACAGCGAGCTCCCGTCTCCTGCACAGCGAGGACAAAGCTCTTGACATACTCGCTCTGGGAGGACCCGGTCAGACCCGGCAAAATGATGACGATGGGCTGGTCATCCACTACTGTCACATCAAGCCAGTCCAAACATATCTGTCCTCCATCCTTCATCTCTAGTAACTCCCTGCATCACCGCCAAAATCATCCATCACTCACATTTTCCATCCACATCTTTACCAGTCATTAACTAAAGCACCGTATCTGCACATTAATCAATATCAATTAGCCAAAAATATATTAAAAAAGTGCTTCGAGCATCTGTAGTGTTGTCTCACTTATGGTCACTTATGGTTAAAAATTCAGGATTTTCTTTATATAAAAATGTTAAAAACTTTTACACCACTGCCATAAATCTCTATCATCACATGCGTGACAAGTAAGTTTGTACACTAGGCCAACTCGTACTTTCATAACCTAAAGCTTTCAATAGTAGTCAGATAATTTTCTCCATAACAATAATAGTTTGCTAATGGAGTGTCTTTCACGGGTCTTCTCATTAGATTTTGAATGGCTGTGTTCCACTGTAAATCCTGAAAACGCAGATGTAATCCCATCAAAGTGATCTGGATACATGACAAGAACAAACTCGCACTGACAGTTCCACTGCCGTCTACATAATATGTATTCTCCCTATTGACTGAAGCCACCTTCTCATCTGGATACAATTCAGACAGCCATGACATACTATGACAAGTATATTAAAAACCAGGGTAATGTCATCAGTATAATTGACAGAAGATATGCATTGCAAGTGAAATGGTCTGATCTCGAACGATGGTAATCTGTTGCACTAAGACTGGGTGGCATGCACACCTTAATGTCTTTTTTTATGATGCATTTGGGACTCCTGAAAGAATAAGGGTAGAAGTATTGGGAGCAGCTTATAGTATCATCAAAACAGGGGAGGCTCCAAAATTTCTGTATAGTAGGGGCTTTGGGGTGGCAATCTGGTTGAAAGGGTGAATGAGGGAGAAAGGGTTAAGGGACTTGCATTGAAGCTTCGTTATTACTATTTGTATAGGGGAAGGACTGAAGATTATGAAGGCTTCAGCCTCCCTTATCCCTTGGTGCCGCCACTGTGTCAAAGGCATGCTGAATGGCAAGTCTTGGGCATGTTCACGACGGGAGATGCGCATGGGAACATTATAAATGCAGAAAATAAAAGCCTTACTATCTTGAACATGCAATGACTAAAACTGAATGTTCAATGCTGCCATGGTTGCATTCACCGGGTCCTGTATCAAGGACTCTTAATAACACTAAGTCTGCAACAATAACAATAAAAATGGGGATACCGACAACTCCAGATTCACCAATGAGCTGACAAGGTGGTGGCCGGACTACTACCACAAAGAATATTAGAACCTAATCCAAGCCTGAACTTTAGGCCAAGCATAATGCTTAATGTTATGTAAGTACTTTAATAACAAAGCATTTACTCTTCAAACCTATGATTCCCTACAGCAATCCACCGGTTAAGCTGATAGTGCCGTCGTGATTCTTATCTAGAAATTGTGGTCGTCATAACTAACTGATTCTACCCTCTAAATTGAATTATTCGCTGTAATCCTTACACTCAAAAGGTGTTCGCGTATCTAATCTTGAAACATTAATGGTAAGTGACTATCAGCTCTGAGTGTCGTAAACTCCCCGAGGCACGATTTTAACATGATTGTGTCAGAAGCCAGGCACAAGTGGGTTAAATTATAAACACTGGTCCGTCTACCTTCTATGGATTCCCAGCATTTAACTTAACCTTCAAATGTGTCACAGAACTAATAAGTTGGTGAGGACATATTCCCTCAATAAGGCATTCGATTATAACTTGACGGTCGACTATCAAACTGATAATAATATGTAAATAACTGGATAGGTCTGAGACAGCAAGACTGACGTCTGTCAATCCATCCATCGTCATTGTCATGCAGGAAGAGTCATATATTTATGGCACAATCAACAAAAGAAGCACTCTGGTATGTTACTACCGCTCTGTTTCAGCTGGGCTACACGGAGAGAATGCAACGGACAAGTGTAGTAGTAGCAGCAGCAACACACAGCAAGAGGCATTCTTGAGCCTCCCCAGCGCTCGGGTTTAAATGCCCAAAGCTGGAGTGTGACTCCAAAAGGATCCTGTAGTGCTTGCTGCCTTTGCACCTCCTGACATCGTCTGCTGCTATTCAGCTGCCACACCCTTCGAGCCCAGTATGGGTGGGGTTTGTAGCAGCCCAAGGTGCCTAGCTTTTTCCCTCCGAGCCCCATGGGGGCGGGGAATGGGGCTAGGCCTGGGGACAGCTGGTCCCAGAAGACGAGGAGGTACTTGTACCTCCTCCCATTCCCTACGCGCTGCATGACTCAAATGAGTTCAGCACTTCCTCGTGAGTATGATAATAATGTAGTGGAACTCACCGTGTGTAAGTTATATCGGGGAGTCTGGAGCGTAGGACAGATGCTAGGATGGTCTGGCAGCGTGACTCGTAGCACCAGGGAGTGGGCCAGTACCTTTCCCTCAGGGTGGTCACCTGGGTCTCCAAGAAGACTCTCCAAGCACCTCGTCTGCATGCTAGTAGCGGCCGCTACACAAACCAGAAGTTTTAGTTTTAGTTTAATATCTTTGTTATGCACCCCATACCCATCCTGTGGGCGGTAGTCAAAAGATTAGAGGTACATAATGGGTCCAGGGACTGGACACTAAAGTTATGATGGCTGAACTAGTTACAACGGTAATGAACTCCACTTACTCTTCTATCAGTTGTAACAATATTTTGCCAAAATATTAAAAATTATTATTTATTATTATTAAATAATAATAATAAATAAATAAAACAATAATATGGTAGATTTTTCCCTGGCGTATGTTTATTCTCTTCTCTAATGCTGAGGGTCCACAGTTAGTACCAGAAGTGGTACTTCCCAATAAGAGGGAAGCGAAGGTTACCTGTCAGAACAAGAAGTCTTGGTTTCGTTGGAGTCTTACATGCATATCAGGCTTGTTTTGCTTTATAAATACGTTGACTATTGCCCCTTTGTCAGTTCTCTTTTGTACATAACCAGTTCTTTAGTTTCGTGACCACACTAACCACTGATTATTTTGGCAAGAATATTCTGGTCACAGGTAACTTAGATGGTAATATCCCTGCGTACCCATGTAAACGTGTTCAATGTGAATTGCTTTTTAAATCGAACTTGCTAACTTTGCTTATTCATTAAACAGTAAGTACTTTGACAAACATGCCGAGCATAAATTTACTGCTGCAACAACTCCGTGAAAATGAGTCTAAACATCACGAAATCAGTGAATGTTATTGATATTAAATATTACTAACAGTGGCGCATATTATTAGAAAGCAAGGTAAGCACTGCTCACGCTATAGAAGATTCTTCCCCTTCTTCACTAGTAACATATTTAACTGTATAAAGCATTCTGCATGCTTGTTATTTATTCCTCGGTAAATTTAAACCTGGTGTAATAGTTCCTCATGGTTCTTACACCTGTAATATTTCCTGTCCCACCTAGGACGCCTAGTCTAAAACCGTTGGCATGATGCTCCCCAGAACCAGTAGCCGGGGTAGCCAAGTGCCTTGCACTGGCTTCCTGGTGAGCAGGAGGTACCGTGGCACCCAGTAGGAGGGAGCAGCATAACAAGCTTAATGGTGCCCTTGTTGTGCCTGTCTCCTGGTGCCAGGCTGCTCTTATGTAGTGTTGCACGCAATGATTGCTATAATGTAATGCTGCATGCAATGACTGTTGTAATGTAATGCTGCAGACAATGACTGCTGTAATGTAATGATGCAGACAATGACTGCTGTAATGTAATGATGCACACAATGGTTAATTGTTCTATTTAAAGACGGGACACTACGAGCATAGCTCTACTGTAGCTGTAAATTTTACACACACAGCCAGGAACTATGAATCAACCCCTACAACCACAAATAGATGAGTACACACACACGAGGGCACCGACAAATACTGGGATGTCCACACAACAAGGGAAGAGGAAAAGAAACTTTTGATGGACTTGGATACATTCAAGGCAATGGGACCCGACAATATGTCACCATGGATTCTGCAAGAGATTGCAGACGCATTGCCTAAACTACTAGCTATGATCTACAATAAGTCAATCACTATAAGACAGTTACCGGAGAGCTTGAAGACAACAAATGTAGTCCCTGCATTTAAGAAAGGGGACAGGTAAGAGGCGTTAAACTACAGACCAGTTTCTCTGACATGCATACTTTGCAAGGTAGTGGGGAAACTTATCAGAGGGAGAACGGTAGAACACTTGGAGAGAAGTGGTTTTGTAAACGACAACCAGCATAGGTTTAGGGATGGCAAACCTAGTTTTACTAACTTGTTGGAGTTGCATGACAAAATAACAATGTGAGACTAGAGAGAGGTCGTTGGATTTATTTTTTAGACTTCAAGAAGGCGTTTGATACTGTACCCCAAAAGAGGCTGGGCCAAAAATTTGAGAATCAGGCAGGAATAACGGGAAATATTCTGGTGGATCAAAAAATATCTTAGGGGAAGGAAACAAAGAGTATTGGCAGAAATGAGACGTCAGAATGAAGAAGAGTAACTAACAGTGTTCTGCAAGGATCGATATTAGGACCAGTACTCTCTGGTTTATGTGAATGATATTCCACATGGGACTGATTCAGGTATATCTCTGTTTATTGATGCTAAAATAATGAGGGAAATAAAAACAGATGAGGACTAAGAAAGGCTCCAAAAGAATATTTACAATTTGTAAGAGTGGTCAGATAAGTGGTTGCTTGAATTCAACTCTAAGTAATTCAAAATCACGAAGATTAGAGAAAAAATCAAGACCGGAAACGAGGTATAGACTAGAGGAACAGACGTTGCAGACTTCACCCAAAGAGAAAGGCCTAGGGGTGAGAATAGTGTGGGGTATAACGCGAGATTCACGCCACCAGAATAACCTCTGCAGCTAATGCTCATCTGGCAAATCTAATAGTAGCCTTTAAGAATCTCAACAGAGCTATTCCGGGCCCTTTATACAACATAAGTCAGGTCCATCATGGAGTATGCAGCACCCGTATAAAGCTCACACCTGAAAAGGCATGTTAAGAAGCTGGAGAAAATGCAATATGCAACAAGTCTTTCTCCTGAGCCAAGAGGCATGGACTATAAAGGGGGGATAACGGAACTGGACCTAACGACACTGAAGGACAGAAGAACCAGGGGAAACATCATAACAATACATAAAATATGACCCACAGGAGTCATATATTCATATTTGGAAAGGGCTTAGAAAAGTACCGCTTTGACATGGATATTCCTTCAGGAGTAAAAATGACTGAAGGGCGCAGTATTAAGGTTGAGGAAGAATGGGCGAGAGCTTTTTAAGTGACATGAGCCATGTGGAATGAAATATGGAATCAAGTATGTTTCTTGAGATAGTGCGTTGGATTTGTGAAGGACTTGCCTAGTATGGGCCAACAGGCCTACTGCAGTGTTCCTCCTTTCTTATGTTCAAGGAAGAGTGAAAAACAATCACACAGCTCGGAAACAATTAAAGAAACTACATCAGCAGCAATCTGATCTGACAGAGCATTATCATGGGTTCTGAAAAGAAAAGCAAGAACTCCGCGAATCGTTCGCAGAAACCTTACTGTAAAAAACGAAAAGTGGACTGTTGTCGAAAATATTCAAGCAAGACTGCGATGGATATGTGGGTCAGCGGGCCACCAGCAGCGACAGCCTGGTTGACCAGACAAGCACCAGACGAACCTGGCCCATGGCCAGGCTCTGGGAGTAGAAAAACTCTCATAACTCAACAAAGGTAAAGGAGACAGACGGTAATGAAGTACAAATCTGTGTCTGACATGCATATGCACATTACTACTCTGTTAGTGACTGTAATAACCTACATTACTATTAAATCAATGGTTGGAATAACCCACATTACTCCTATACCTTCCTTAGGTAAGTTTTGTCAGGAAATAGGGCAAGTGTTTTCCTGACGCGGGTCTTAAGTCATATGACCCTCAGCTGGAGCTTTTGGTCATCTGACCGAGACTTTCCGCTGACTTACCAGTCCACTCCTTTAAAAATTAAGATTGTAATTATAACCACCACTGCTCCTATACCCACCATTAATCTAAACCTCATCTTCCCAGCTAGACTGAATATCTGTGATATCTCCAGCTTTCTGATGCTGGTTATTCAAAACACATAACATTTATCACTAAATGTTTATCTTAGAGATACTCCGCATGTTGTGTCACAGACATGACAGTAACACATGAGCACTTCCATCCCTTTGTGGTTGCGGGAGAGGGGAAGGGGGAGAGGGGTGCCAGGGCAGAAATAGATCGCACCTGAAAACAAATTTGGCTACCCAAAAAAAAGTAATATAGTTGCCAGGACTCTCCTCAGAGCAGCTGTTGTAAGAACAGTGATACACTGCAGGGGACTTACTACTTCACCCTACTCGGCTCTTACTTACATCCAACCATTATATAATACTCGTGTACTTCTTTAACCAGACTTTAAAGATACCTCAAGTGTTTGTTCAATGACACTGTTTAGCAGCGTTTAGATGAACGGACATGACCCAGCCTCATGAGATATATGGGGAAGCAGTCTTTTACCTGGTGCCTTTGCTCACCTAGCAGTAAAAATAGGTACCGGAGATGGGGTAGTTAGAGGTTGTAGCTGGCGTCCTGGGACGTCTCAATATACCATTGATATTGCAAGGTTTAGAAATGAGATGAGATAGGATAACAGTTCATATTCTGAAAGAATATCCATGTTGTGAGTCCTCAGGTCAAGAAGGGAACCTGGGCAGTGGTCGGACAGCATGGATGCTTTAGCATAGATGCTTTAGCCTCCTGTTAACCCATCTGGGGAATATACATATACTCTGAGCACGTTATACATTATTATGAAAAAAATCATAAACGCAAATCCCTTCGTAATCGTAAGTATGATTATCGTCAATAAAATCATTAGCTAGATTACCCCAATCGAGATTAGACAGGTGTTCCTTAAGTCCAATATAACCGGCAGAACGAAAATCTGGGACTTTTACCGTATTATCCTTATTCTGGTACTCCCAGGTAATATTAAAAGTAATGGATTTGTGATGACTTGCGCCAAGCTCTTCAGTGATCTGCAGATTATTTACGAAGGTTTCTTTATTTGACAAGACTAGATCGAGCAAATTATTACCTCTGGTAGGCTCCATTACACACAGTTTCAGAAAACAGTCCTGAACTGCTTCCATAAAGTCACTGGACCCCCAGATTATATGTCGAAGTAGTCCAGTCAATCTGACTGAAGTTAAAACCCTCTATCACTAGGTCATTGTGTCTAGAAGCCCTAACAATTTCGTCCCAAAGAAGTCTCCCTCTATCATGATCCAAGCCTGGAGGTCGGTATATTACACCTAGAATTAGTTTTTCCTGACCTAGAAACTCTACCCAAACAGACACTGTTACTGATCAATCAATTTTTATACCTGTTTTTATGCAACAATTTATATTTTCTCGTACATATAATGCAACTCTACTCCCTTTCCCGTTACATCTATTTACATGGAAC